TTGGATCCGCTATTTTGAATTCTGTAAATCCGGATGTGAATTCATGATTAGCGATCCAAAGCATCAGGGGGTTATCAATTTTCATAAAAATAAAAAAAAACTTTCGAAAATTTCAACCATATTAGATCCGCTTTTTAATTTTGGAAATTCGATTGCGGATTCATCATCTCTGAGAACCGAAGAACAAATATTCGTAAAAATCGAACGTATTTTGATTCATCTGAGTGTTCTCAATCAGTACTTCCTGAATTACAGCCGTTAGGCCCACCATATAAAAATTTCCAAAAAAGTCAGAGCGCTAAAGAAAGTAGACATATGTACCTACAATTTGAGTCTAGAAAAAATTTTTTTGATTAAACTGAATTTTGGACAGAGAGGGGTGTTCAATTTGTTAAAGAATACCCCATATGTATACATATATATATACGTATATGTATACATATGTATGCATATACATATGTACATATTATATATATATATATGTCATATATAATATTATTTGAACTCGGAAAGAAGATTTGTCGAGTAATTACCCGGTTGGCTTCTCGAAATAACATATATCGAAATCGACTCGCTTTACCGAGCGCAATGTCGGGATGCACCCTTCACAGAATCGGCTACGAAGTAGGACCGTAGGAAGAAACTCGGCGAAATGCCGAAATCTGTTGGGAACCGCGAAAGCCACAGTGCGGAGTTCGAGCGCTCCTTAACAAGGAATCTCAACTACTCATTACGCAAAAGCGTTTCTGCATTCAACACTCTTGCGCCGATGGGATACCCATGGGGCATTCGTCACTAGACGTTTCAGCCGATTACGAAACCCCGTGCACTTCGGGAACAATGGATAATACCTTTCGCGCGACACCGCAGCGACAACTTACTTCGTCCTTAAATTGACGGTATGAGGGTGGATGCGGCTCTAACATCAAGTTTTAAGTTCAGGGAAATTTGTTTCGCCTTAATTATATTGGCATTTGAACAATGAACATGATAATAACAACAATAAACAATTATCGATATCCTAAACTCATTTCTTGAAAAGGTACTCATTTACTTAATCAAATTTTACTCATTATCAAAAAATATTTCATCAAAATAAACGTTAAACTTAAACATTAATTATTCCATTATATCTGTATTACTGGTTTTTGTAATTGTATCTTAGATATTAATTAGCACGCTTTTAATTAATTAATTAACATTAATTAATTAATGGAGTATACCTAGTTAGGGGTCCTAAAAAAGACGAATTTTCGTGAATTTTTTCCAAAAAAGTATTTGCATATTTTTGTATAAAAGTTTTTATATTCAAAAGAACCTACTTTGAGAAAGTTTTTATATTATTTTAATGTAAAAATATTAATAATTAAATAATTTGCGGCCACTACTGTTTGTAACCAGGTTATTTGAAATAAAAAGAAACCGAAAAATTTAGTTAATATATGAATTTATCTAGTCTTTAATTAATCGATATTCTGAAAAATTAAATTACAACAAAATAGAGGCTGTCTAAATTTGAACAAAATAATCCAATAAATCAGGGCGAATGAGACTCAGCGTGGTAGTTAATACGCAAATGCAATCTTAGAACTTTATTTCAAAAAAATATTTCGTACATTTCGGTTCACTTTGGAACTACTCTTAGCAATACAATCTCAAATATAACTTATTTTATGTCCAAGGAAGAAATCATCATCATATTTACAGATTTGATGTTGTAAAATCTAATTCAAACATTAACCAAAATTGTAATATAATTATTTCATACCAATATACGAGTATTAAAGTTACAAATTAAAAAAATTAAAGAATTAAAAACTGGACTTACCCAACATAAAAAGAATTTTTCTGAAACATTAGATCAAAATCATATTTGAACAATTAAAATTTATAAGAGAATATTATATTTAAATGCATGTTAATCGCAGCTCAACAGAAACATGACTAATACATTTGATCTAATAAGTAAGACATGTCAGGTCAACAAAAAAAAAAAAATAAAAAAAAAGCAGATTATATTATTACTATTTCAAATTTAAAGTTTTGATTAAAAAAAAAACCGGACATTTTTTGTCCAATTTAAAAATAAGTACACATTGGAAAAAAATCCTTCGATTAAAGACTAGATTTACATATTTAAAAAAAGCATGTGGAATTTCAAATTGATCGGTGTACCGGTTTTTCAGATATATCGTGGTCACTGATTTGGAAAACATAGTTTTGAAAAAAACAAATTTAAAGTTTCAAGTGCAGTTTTAACTAAAAAAAATTGAAAAATTTATTTTTCATCTTGCACAGAGTCATCTATTCCAGGGTCATTTTTTTGTAGTACCTACATCCTCTCTTGAAGTTGATGCTTTTAAAATGTCAATTTGTTGTTGCTGACAATATATTCTTTCCTTTCTTATTATATACTTGTGTATACTTTTATGTGTACTCACAGTCGTATATCTCTATGAAAATACAACGGATCAATTTAAAATTTTAAGGGAATATTTCTAATATTGTATACTTTAAGAAAATGTGATTTTTGAAAAATCGATTTTTTTCAAAATTTCTAACTAGGTATAGCCCCCTTAACAGCAATCATATTTATTTCATTTGTTGGGATTATTTTATATCCTATATAGTATCCTAATAAAAAATAAGTATAACAGCTAGGATACCTATGTATATTTTTTATTGAAAATTATAATGAATGATATATGTAGATATATATGACATTGTGTATGTGTTATTCTATTGTTTTATATTATCCATTAATAATTATATAAACGATGTTTTTTATAAGTAATTTAAGAATACGCGACATATGTGCATTGCGTGTTACGATTACATAAATATCATTATCCGATTTCTGGTGTTTACGAAATACCAATTTACCAACGCGCCGATCAATTGTATACAAATTGAATGTGCAACGTTTCGTTTGCTTGCTATACGAAGTCAGTGTTTGATAATTCAAATAGTTGATGAATATTTATTAAATTATATTTATCTGAATTTTTCTGTTCTGTTTCTAAATATTAAACGTATAAAAACTGCGTGGAACCACGAACAGGTGCATGTGCTATGTTATTTGTCGCATGCGATCTGTCCGTTTATTTTCGTTGATATTATAGTCTATAGAAGTCCACACGAACGAACGTTAAAATAACTCATAAATGTTTAATCGAGCTATTGTTTATTTTAACTGGAATTTATTACGCTTAGATATATATGGTAATCGAAAGTTTAACAAGCACACATGCATTTATTAATTTATCAACGCTTTTTCAGTACTGTCAAAAGAACGATATATATATAACCTTAAAACTATGATATACTTAAATCTATGATGACTATATTAAAGTGATTAAGTAGATAACCAAGAAAGTAAGATATTAGTTAGCTCCGAAATTGTTCGTAAATACAAATTTAAAATTATTAACAGTTTTAATATTAATATTGTAATATAAAATAAGTTTAACATAATACAAATTTAGATTGTTTATTTATACATACATACGTATAATATTTGTATACACATATATACATTAGACTGCCAAGAAAAAAAAATTTTTTTTAATCGGCCTCTTAGTTCAAAAGCTTCCATTTCATGTCAAAAGAATCCCTAAATTTTTATCAAAAATATTAAGATTTAGAGGTCGCTAGTAAACAATTTTTAAATGAAAGTTTCGATAATAATAAGAATAAATTAATATTGAAGGACTTCTAGATATTTAATAATGTAAAGAGACTAGAATGTGAGGGAAAGTAGGAGTCAGCGCGGTATTTGGTGCGCAACTATAATAATGGAAATGTTTATATGTCCACTTTTTAATATAAAAGTATAAAAATATAAAAAGTTATATAATAAAATTTGTACGCGTTTCGACTTACTTCAAATCATTCTCAACGGTATTAATATAATTCTAATTCAGCACAAATAGTGCATCAACCATTCAACATCACAATGAGATTTCTTAGCTTCATCCCAGTTTACAGGCTAGAAGGAAACAAGAATTCTTATAAAGTAAAGCAAATTCATGCAACTTTTGTGCGTAAATATATACTATACAGTAGTCAACCAGTAGAATATAATATTAATTTTGACAATTAGATGAAGTAACAAGAGTGATTCAAATAATTTTTTCGTCAAATGAAAAGAATAAAATGTAACATTGTTCACTCTTCCGTTACATGGAAACAAATAACATGTGTTACAGCCGATGCACTACTTGTGCTAAATTATATTAATGATTGTTTGAGAATGACTTGAAATAAGTCGAAACGCGTACGGATTTTATACTAACTTTTTATATTTTTATACTTTTATATTAAAAATAAACATAAAAACATTTCCATTATTATACTTGCGCACCGAGTACTGCGCTGGCTCCTACTTCGCTCATCATTCTAGTCTTTATATTATTAAATATCTAGGAGTCCTTCAATATTAATTTATTCTTATTATTGTCGAAACTTTGATTTAAAAATCGTTCACTAGCGATCCTTAAATCTTAATATTTTTTGATAAAAATTTAGGAGTGTTCTTTTGGCATGAAATGGAAGCTTTTGAGTTAAGTGATCGATTAAAAAACAAACTTTTTTTCTTGGTAGTCTAATATACATGGTATTCCAAAATTCGTGAATCAAAATATCGTAGGAAGAAAACTTCGAAAAATTAAGTAAAAAAGTTATTTATAAATTAAGTAAAAAAGTTATTTAGAAATTTTTATTTTAAGTAGTAATTTTTTAGATATAAAAGTTTAAATATGGCCAATCACGTTTAGATAATCATTTGTGAGTATACTAAAGTGAGCTCATCACATGCGCTAAGATAAATGTCTCTATATATGATCATGTGTAGGAAGCGTATTTAATAGAATGAATGATTGTCTTAGGAAACCTATTGCTCTTAGTATATATTTAGGTGATGTGTGAACTTGCTGCACAAATGTAATTATATAGTTGTTTTTTCGAGCTTGAACGGTTTTTGTTCGAGAAGTTGATGTTCGGTTGTTTTGTGGAAAGAAGATTTCGATTTACGATTTAAGGTAAGATATTAAGATAAAAGATAATAATTTCGTCTTAAAATTTTTAAATAAATATTAAACACGGAAACGGCTGGACGTCTCATTGTGTGAATCTGAGTTTTTTGAAGCAACAATTTCTCAGAAGTGGGATTCCACGCGTGAGGCGCACAGAAGTTTGGGGAAAAGAAATAAATATCTAAAGGCGGAACACATTATGGAATAGAAAAATGTTTGAGCAATAATACAATAATTGCACTACGGCTAGTAGATCTGAAACAGAGACTCTGAGATATGGGACTATCATCTACTGGCAACAAGGCTGAGCTTATGAGAAGATATGTAGACGCGGGAGCAGCAGATATAGAAGCAAGGTATTATGAAAAATCTGAGAATGTTGCAGGAGTAGACTAATTGGAGAATACACGAATACCTCAGGTTACCGTAGCCAGTAAGTGCATCAAATATTGTGCCGCATGAAATGGAAGTTTTGCGTCGTGAAAAAGAACTAGCAGAACGTCAGCTCCGACTACTGCAAAGAGAAGTGGATCTAATACGCGCTAATCAAGGGGGTAACAGCGACAGCTATAATGTTCGTCGCGGCACTAAGTTAATAGATGTGAAGGATCTGATAGGAGAATTTGACAGAAACGTCATGAATTATGATGTTTGGGAGAAACAAATAAACTTTCTAGTCCGCAAATATAGTTTAGACAATTTGGAGATAAAAGCAATAATCTGCAACAAGTTACGAGTAAGGCTTTGAAATAGTATTATTCGAGAACAGATTGCGTAGAGTTAAGCGCTGAAGATTTGTTAAAAGAACTAAGAAAAATTTTTGATTTGCGACTAAATAAGTTACAATTACGCCGTGAGTTCGAAGAGAGAAAGTGGAAATCTTCTGAGACTTTTTCAGATTATTTGCATGATAAAAAAATAACTATTAGATATTTAGATCCAATTTCGGAAGACGAGTTGTCCGACTATTTAATAGACCCGGATTCAAATCTTCAGTGCTAAGCTCGGATACAATGGTTTGATACTCCGACTGAATTATTAGAAGCATTTCTCGAAGGTCACTTTAAAGTCTAGTATGTCAGGAAACAGAGTCAGTCGTTCATTTGGGAACAACTAAGCGAAAAGCGATATTGTTAAACAGAAGGAAAATCGTAAACCGGAGGAGATCCAGAGGAGCTGTTATAATTGCAACGAAGAGAGACACTGTGCCTTTAACTGTAAACGTCCGAAATGCGAGAAGAGTTAGTATTTTCGTTGTAGAGAACAAGGTCACCAGGTCAGTCAATGCAGCATACCTAAAGAAGAAATAAGTTACGTCGGTTAGCAGTCAGAAGACGAATTTTATCGGACGCTTCAGGTTCAAATTTATCCAAACGGAAACGATTACATCGAAAATTTTTTTGATTGACACGGGCAGTCTGATAAGTTTTATTAAGAAAATGTATGTTCCGAGCTTAGAATATAAATCCATGTTAACAAAAGAAGCTTAATTTTATGGTATTAACAATAATACGAGGGCAAGTCAATAAGTTTTTGGTAAAATACATTTTTTTTCGATTTATTTTTATTTCTCAACATAGTCTCCTTTCAGCTCGATACACTTGATCCAACTTTTCCAAGCCGTCCGAATAATATGATTTGTCCAACCCTTCAAAATAAGCTTCTGTTTCGGCGATGAGCTGCTCTCTGGTAGTGAATCTCTTTCCTCCGAACAATTTCTTCAGGTTTAGAAACAGGAAATAGTCGCAAGGGGCTAAATCCGGCGAATATGCTGGATGGGGAAGCAATTCGTAGCGGAATTCGTTGAATTTGGCCATCGGTGCCGGGCACGTGAACCCGTGCATTGTTTTGATGGAAGAGCACTTTCTTCTTCGCCAAATGGGGACGTTTTTTTCTTTAAAATGTTGTTGAAACGGTCCAATAAGGCTGCGTAGTAATCGCCATTGATCGTTTGCTTCAACGGAAGGTAATCGATATAAATTATACTACGTGCATCCCAAAAAACTGTGGCCATCACCTTTCCGGCTTCACGGTCTTCGCCTTCTTCGGAGTTGGTTCACCCGGTGAAGTCCATTGTTTTGACTGTTCCTTCATGATCTCGGGTGTGAAGTAATGGATCCATGTTTCGTCCACAGTAATGAATCGACGCAGAAATTTATCTGAATTACGTTGAAACATCTCCAAATATTGTTTTGAAATCGTCATCGGTCGGGCTTAGTCCACAGCAAACGCGGCACCCATCTTGCCGATAGTTTTTTCATACTCAATTGTTTGTGCAAAATTAAAATCACTGTGCATGTGATAAGCCTATGGCCTCAACAAGCTCGCGCACTTTCACTCGTCGATCAGTCAAAACAATATCGTGGACTTTACCGATGATTTCTGGTGTAGCAGCCTCAATTGGACGTCCCAAACGAAGTGCATTACATGTGGATGTACGACCACGTTTAAATTCATTCACCCAATTGTCGCAAACGCTGGTGCAGATGTGCTATGAACATTATCCAACTCGGCTTTGATTTCTTTCGGCGTTAAACCTTTGATATGTAGATGTTTGATCACTGCACGAAACTCGTTTTTTTCCATTTTGCAAAAAATATAAAGGTTGTTCGCTTTAATCGTCTACAGAAATGAAATTAGCGATGAATTCCGCTCAAAATTTGACAGTAATCAGTTGAAAGATGTTACTTATCAGTGACATGACACTGCGAGTCTCTCTGACAGATTTTCTAAGAACTTATTGACTTGCTCTCGTAGATTGAGTATCTTAGGTAGAGTTAATGTAGGAATTTTTGAGGGGGAGAACAGATCTTTTAGAGATTTATGTAGTTGAGAATAATACAATAATGTTCCTGTAGTTCTACAGAGTCGGATTTTTCTTAAGATTTCAAACTGCATATACTGCAGAAAAAAACTGAAGTAAAAGAAATTTTAGTTATGGAGTTGGAAGAACAAAATAATGTCCAAGAGTCATAAAAAATCATAATAAATGATAATTTGCCGAACACAATTAAACAAGAAATGTGTGAAATATTTGATAAGTATTATGTAGAACCGCTCGACCTAAAGTCGAGAATGTAATGAAACTCACTTACTGATTGTAAACCGTTTAGGTTTACACCGTGAAGATTATCGTACGATGTATCGATAAAAAATCGAAATTAAAAGTTATAATAGAAAATTGGTTGAAATCGGAAATAATTAGATCAAGTGAGTCCGAGTGCGTTGCCAATTATCTTGACTAAGAAATGAAGAGATAAGATTATGCGTTGATTTCAGAATCTTGAATAAACAATAGCTTGCGACAATTTTCCTCTACCTTTAATTAAAGACCAGTTAGATCTTTTGGCAAGAAAAAAATATTTTACATCTTTAGATTTGAAAGATGGTTTTTTCCATGTAAGCATGCACGGAGATTCGATAAAAATGACATTATTTGTTCATCTTTGAGTCAATACTAATTTCTTAAAATGCTTTTTGAACTGAAAAGGGCACTTTTAAGATTTCAAACGCTTTGTAACGGAAATTTTCCGCTTTAATAGAATCAGGAGATGTTGCAATTTATCTAAATGACTTTCTTATTGCTACTTCTACGATAGAATATCATTTTAAAACATTAAAAAAAAATTTCGTTTAATGGTTGAGAACAAATTGAAACTTAGATTAGATAAATGTAAATTTTTATCAAATTGGAATATTTGGAATATACCATCACTGAAAAAGACATATAACTTACTGATCATGATATAACTGCGGTACAGAATTTTCCTGAACATCGTAATAGTCAGGATGGCTGAATTGTAGGAAGTGTATTTAATAGAATAAGTGATTGTCTCATGAAACCTACTGTTCCTAGTATATATTTAAGTGATGTATAAACTTGCTGCGTAAATGTAATTATATAGTTGTTTTTTCGAGCTTGAACAGTTTTTGTTCAAGAGATTGATGTTCGGTTATTCTATGGAAGGAGGACGATTTCGATTTACGATTTAAGATAAGATGTTACGATAAAAGATTGTAATTTCGTCTTGAAGTTTTTAAATAAACATCAAATACGGAAATGGCTGGACATCTCATTGTCTGAGTTTTTTGGAGCAACACATGTAAGATAGTCACATGAGTTAATAAGAATAAAAAATACTATGTTATATATTATAAAGTTATTAAAATCAGAAATCAACCGAACTGAAGATTAACTATTTTTGTATCGAAAAATATGTTTTACTCGAGTTGTAAACAGAATCTAATAAAAAAAGAAATAGCAGACTATGTAAATGTACACGTTAGTGACCATTTAATTTAATTTGGACTGTCAGTCCCGGCTAGTGATTGGTGGATTAGATTAAATGTATCATTTAGTGACCGTCGGATTAATTTTCTTGCTCAAGTTGATATCTATATTCTCCGTTTTTAATTTCAAGATTATCTCAAGCAATGTAATAAAGGGCACGAAATTTCAACAACAAATATAAATATTATATATAAATATTATATATACTTTATCTATTTATTAGAAAAATATTTACTGTGCATACAAAGCACACGAATATGATTATTAATTTATTTTGATACACGCCATAATATCTCACTAATTCATATTTTGTTACATGTCATGATATCTCGCTAAATTCATATTTTGTTATATGCTTCAATATTAATTATGCGTACGTAATATACAAATAGATTCCATATGAAAGAAAGAATTTCTTAATAAAAATATCAATGCATATTTGTATGATAATCTTGAAGTTGCCCTCATGACATACTTTCAATACTTGTTATATCATCATGCCTGAGCGCACAAAATTACAGCTCCGTAATTAATAAACTTTAATCGCTACTAATTTAAAAACTATTATAGCTTGATGTTTTGGTATTAGACTTTTTATCTCAAAATTACTTAAAAAATCTGTAAGCAGGTGGTGTGTCAGGTCTGAATCTATATACTCTATATATATTGAGTTGTTCGGAAAGTAATTTCGTTTTTTCCCAACAGAGGACTTAATTATATTTTTCACAGCCAACTTCACACTTAAGCCGCATAATCATTATATATTTTGACAGCTGATATAGCAAAGCTTGCTTGTGAAAAAAGTTCGATTGATTCTACGCAGTAGTTTTTGGTTGGTGCCCTATCAAATATGAAAGTGAAAAGCAGCATTTTCGGCATATTTTACTTTTTTACTATCGAAAAGGTAAAAATGCTGTTCAAGCAAGAAAAAAATTATCCGATGTGTATGGAGAAGATGTATTGACAGAACGCCAGTGCCAAAACTGGTTTGCAAAATTTCGATCCGGCAATTTTGATGTTGAAGATGCACCACGTTCTGGAAGGCCAGTTGAAGCTGATGAAGACACAATAAAGGCATTAATTGATGCAAACCGGCGAATAACAACTTGTGAGATCGCTGATAGATTAAATTTATCGAATTCGACTGTTCATGATCATTTGAAACGCGTCTAATTATCGTCTTTCATTTTCATAAGAAAAAACGAAATTACTTTCCGAACAACCTAATACATATATGTATATATAAAATACCGTTATTTATTATATTTCACAATATTTGTTAATAAAATAAATATAATATATATGTGTATATATACTTATATTAATTATTTTATATTAATATATAATCCTACATTGTATCCTATATAGCCGAATTTTTTCGTGGCTATAAATAAATTTATATAACATGAAATCAATAAATATCAATCTCTAAATATAAATTAACAATGAATTCGATAGTTTTAATAACTTTTTTTGTTGCAAAACCATTAAAGGATCATTTGTACTAGATGTAATCTATAAGAATTTTGACCAATCATAGTTAATTATTTCCCTCTTATTTAAGGATGTACGATCGATCACTTTTGCGGGGTAAGTAGTGAGGAAGATATGCTATTGTTTTACAATACCAACTTAATGTACGAAAATCTTTTAATAATAAAAAAGGCTAATTTATTAAAATTAAAAGATAACATTGATTGTTAATTTTTAATTATGAATCATAACATTAATATTCTATTATTAGAAAATGCAAGTAATTTAATGGTTTATGTTTAATGATTATCGATAAATTTACAACATTACACTCTGAAAATGAGGTTGGCATCCCTATTCAAGTTGCGCACTAGTAATTTACTAGTGTCACTTGTACAGTTAACTGATAGTTAATTGAGGTTAAAATATTATTTTTATATAAGTGTTTTACAGTTAAAAACATAACAATAGATTATAAGCAAGCACATTCATTTATTGTTATTATTATTATTACAGAATGAAGCAAACTGCAATCTAACCTAATGTCGGAAGTCAATAGAGTTGTCAAGTTTTCCGCGTATATTTATTTAATTGTCCAAATAGGCATGCTTTCATCAGCTTTTTATACAATGTGTAATTTATTTG